CCACGACTCCATGGCTCCCTCTCCCCTGGGAAGAAAGCAGTGATGCGCGTTTATAGGCGATTAGAGTCTGAACTTTGTTAGAACTGAAGCGAAGCGTCGAAGCGAGGAAGAGTAGCTGAGAGCTACGGGATTTTAGGACTCGTGCGGTTTACGAGCGAAATTTTCATAGGTTCTCTCTCTGTTGTGGCAGATTATATAAGACTCGTGAATTCTGAAAATGGATTTTGGGATCGTACGGTTCTTTTCTCGGGCAGCAAGGAAAGCGGTGACATGCGCGTTTATACTGATTAGCGTCATTAGACGCAGGTCGATTAAATGAGAGAGTCTGTGTTTGCTGGAGGTTGACCTAAAGAACTGAAAAGAGGACACCTTCGTTCTTTCTAGGAAGAAAGCAGTGACAGATTTATGAAATTATATTTAATGTCACGTGTACACGCACTTTAGCAAATTAGAAGCAGATTAGAAGAGAGAGCCCGAGTTTCTTACAGCTGAACTGGAAAAAGTAAAGCGAGAAAGGAAAGGGGGGTAGTTCTTCGTTCGAAAGAAAAGATGACGTGCGTGTTTGTAGCGATGATCAGCATCACCAGTGAGTTCCTGAATAAGCGTAAGCTATAGAGAAACATGTTTATTTGTTAAAATTCGTTCTTTTTAAAATGTTTCTGTTAAATTTTTTATGTGTCCAAATGTTACATTAACATAATGATCACATCATTTTGATATTTTATGTTAAATTGATATTCAACATATTTTAGTGTTAAATGATACAATTTATAAATAAGTGAACAAATAACAAAAATAATGAATTTTAAAATGTAAATTCTAAGATAAATAAATAAAATATGGTAATGTAACATATTATAAATGATAATTTTACTGAAGAAATATGTTGTCACAATTTGTTTACAAATTATGTCAGTGTTACATTTTTTGCGTTAACTTTCACATAATATCTATTAATTTTTAATATATTCATTTTATGATAAATTAAAGCAAACGTTTAGATGGACACGTGAAATGGATTAAATTCAACATAAATTTTTCTCGACTGTGTAAATTTATTAAAATTAAGAGGCAAAATAAAAGGAAAGAGTTAAAAATTTCAAAGTCGATAGAAATGCAAAATTCTGGAATCTGTGATTTGGAAATTTTAAAGCGAATGAGAGTAGAATTTATGAATACTGTATTTTTTTTATTTATGGATTTTAAAGTTTATAAAAATATTCTCTGTGGATTTTATGATGGAGTTTGACATTTGTAAATTCCAAAAAATATACATTTTTCATGAGATTTCTAAATTAAAATATATATGAAGAATATACTATAATAATAAAAAGAGAAACCGTATGTTCCAATATTTACGTAACATTTGAAAGTTCTACCGAAAAAGATAAAAGATACCTAAAATTCGAACACAAAGGAAGACGAAAGATACAATAAGGATATTTTCTTTCTGACGATCTTTCTCGTAAATTTACATGTTAATCTGTCATGATCTCGTGGAAAATAAATAACAGTACATATAGACATTCGAAATCGAAAATTTTACGACATCAAGTGTGTCTGCGGGGAGCTAGAATGCGCGCGCGAGTCTTAAAGTAAGGAGAATAACGCGATCTACTGAGATTTTACGATCTTGTTTACGCCCAGTCGGATCGGGAATGAACTGAGGGTGAGAAAAACACGTCGTGATTCTGCGAGAAAATCGAGAACGGAGCGAATAAGTCTGTGGCGAATGCTTTTCAGATGTACGCGTATATCGTATTCCGATATTCATTCTCGATTATTGTACTTTTCGCCAATAGGCAAATAAAATTTACGTTTCCAGTATCATATGAGATAAAGCTTGCAAAATATAATTTTAAAGATATCCATATATCACTTTCTTATTTTAAAAATGACATAACTCAAGAAGTATGATTTTCGAGTTATTACCACAAATGAGCTAAATAATTACTGCCCTATCAATCTTTAAAAGTAAATTAACTTAACTCTCTGCCTGTAATCATTTTACTTTTTCTGTATAGTCCAAGTTTTTGTTCGAGACGTTCAAAAAGTATGGAAAAAGTTTAGAGTTACTCTACAACATCCTTATTATATCATTAATGTCCATTTCTATCAACGTGATTTAATTTTCATCTCAGTTCAACTAACTTTTCATCTTTTTCTAATTCAAAAATTATAAAAAGATGAACAGAAAATTCAATCGAAATTAAAGTTCATCTACATTGATGGAAATAGGCAAAAATAAATTTTTAACAAGATATTTTAGGAAGGAAAATCGGATTCCTTCCTTTATTTCAAAAAATTGATCCCTCAAAGGGATACACAAGTATAAGTTTACGTGAAAGACACCTCTTCATTTTCAACAAAGAATCATCTAAAATTTATTTAGAAGCACACTATACATTTTTTGTCGATGATATTTAATTAGTCAACGATTTCCCGTTGCAAAGTAATTCTTCCGTTTTTTCTGGAGAGCTTATAATTTTTTTAGTTCTGTCACTTTTAAAGGGGACGATGTCTTGACATTTCAGAATCTATTCTTGAGCGCAGAAAACCTTTTTAGAATTTCCAGGATTTCTATTCTGGGCGATTCTATTACGATCAGAATATATACATGCAGAATACATTTTTCACAAATGATCTGTTCGAAATCCAACAAGTTTCATGAAGAGCGATTCTAAATATTATCGACCACCGTATGAATTACTGGACACGTACGCATCCGCGTTGCTCTTGCAAACACTTGTTTCGCGCACAGGATTATTATCAGTACGCCTTCTCGCTGGTTAATGATCTCGCCACAGTTAGATTTCATCAAGCGTGACGCAGTTTCCTAATCGAGGCGGCGTAATCACGCGAAACACGAACCGCGAGCGTATTCGGTATTGCGTGAAATTTCTAATTCCGTGCAATTACCGTGACTACAATGAGAGCTGAACAAGTTCCCAATGTTCCGAATTAATATCAGTAACGACAAAAGTGAGAATTTTAAAAGACACTAATACTACCGGTGATTTTAACGCGTTAGCGCATTATTGAAATTTCTGAAGATAAAAAAGTAATTTTACTTGTAAATCAGAAAATAATAATAATCGAGAATAAAATATCGGACATATTAAAATTTAAATAATTCGAAAAATAAAAATTTTAACTTAATAAAATTTTTTAATAGAATAACACTGCACGTTTGGAGAATAAACTTTTTCCGTTAATTAACTAAATACTGAGAAATTATGGAATAATTTAATTTTCTTTTGATGGATCAGGAATACTTAATTTAGGAATAATTAATTTTACAGAGATCACATGTGTTTCCAAGAAATTTTGATTCTCGTCATCTACCTTTTGTTTTCAAGATTAAAATCGGTAGATTCACGTCTCTTATTCTACGAGTCGTATGCTAGATATCTTATTTCTGTCAATGCGGAATGGTGTTCACCGAGTACTAACAATAAGCAATAAATCTATCAATCTACCGGAAAAAGACTCGACTCGCCCAAAAAGACTTGTTTTTACAGCTCGACAATTATCACTATGTTTTCGTCTCACTTCTCGTAAAGAATTACTCAAACACGTTGCATTTTACAGCAAGTAGCCACGTTTCGCTTCGAAAAAAATCGCTGCGCGATGACAACGGTTCGTTCGCGATTTCGAAGAACAAGCAAAGTCAACGATAAAGACGGAACTGCGTTTTACATCGTGACGAATAATGCAAACGTCAAGTGCGGAATCAATCGACATTTAGCCCACACACTTCCCTATATGTGAAATATTTTACGTGTCACGTTCTACGTGCAATCTTGTTACATCTACATGTATCGCTCATTTGTTAAAATGACATAATTAAGAAAATGTTTTTTTATTAGTTGTTTGCAGAAAAAAAAACGTAAATATGTATAATGAATACTTGAGAAAAAACATACTTAAATCTTCTACAATCAGTTATTATATTAAAGTTGCATTAAAAAATTATTATTACAAAATTTTAATGATTGATACATGAAAACTCATCTTCTGAAAAATTTTATTTTTTAGTTACTTATAGAAAAAGAACAAATATGAAGATAAACAGAGACAATATACTTAAACAAAAATAGACTTTTATCTACAATCAGTTATTATACTAAAATTGTTATGATTTACAAAAAAAACTCATTTTCTGAAAAACTTTGTTGTTTTATCTGTGTCATTACAGCAAATGAGCAGTATGATAAAATCTCGTATCAAATTAATGTAAAGTGTAAAATATAAAATTTCTACAAAACTTGCGGCAAAATTTACAGTAAATCGCGATACCATCGATAAATATAAATAATTATACAAGTAATGATACAAAACAGTGTCGATATTTACAAAGTTGGTAAATGAAAAAATTTGAAACAAGAAAAAAATATTTTATTAGGAAGGCGAAGAATATATTTTAAGTATTTAAGGATGTTTA